TGCAACGCAATCAGCACACAGTGGAGTTATGTTGGCCCATATGTCACCGAAATCATGCATCATTAAAGTTATGGCAGATCGCCGCCCTCCATTTCACGGCCGACGTGAGCCAGGCGCCTCTGTTTCCGCTGAAACACCAGCATCCAGTCAAAACGGCACGATCGCACGGCGTAGTGAGTGTCGCCATTGGCGGGCGCGGAGCCGAGCGCGCCGCGTGACTTGCGCCGACTGGCACGCGCTATCCGCATCTCCGGCAGTCTAACCGGCATAGAGGGCCGGTCAGACTGACCAGACCAGACCAGACCAGACCAGACCAGACCAGACTGCAGTCCCGAACTGGAAACTCGACGCCGAAACGGCCAGTGGCACTGGTGTGCTGGCAACTGGAGTTCGGATCGGAGCTGGGAGAAGGCAGCTGGACGAAGAGCAGCCTGTGCCAGCAGCAGTCATACCAGCCGGCAGCTGGTACCTGGGGCGGAGAGGACCCCTGACCGGCCGGAACGGCGGGCTGTGGGGGGGGGGGAGCCCTGTGGCCCTGTCCAGTCCGAAGCGGGTGTGGATGTGGCCGGCGCGGCGTGGCAGCGACCGCTGATGGACGTCACTATGATGGATGGGCAGATCGCGCCACCCGCTCTTCTGATGGATGAGAATCGGCGCCTCGTAATGCGGTCCATTGGACGCCAAGAGGCGTGAGTTGAGAGTCCAGTCGGCAGATGTCCAGCATGCCGAAGTTTGGCAGACGGATGCCCACTCTGCGAGGGTCTGGCCGACGGATCTTCGGCCCACGAGAGGCCGGCCAAGGGATATCCTGCCCGCGAGGGTCTGGTCTGCAGCAGTTCGGTGGACGGATGTCCAGTCTGCAAGTCTGGTGGACGGATGACCAGTCTGTGAGAGTCTAGAGAGCGGATGTCCAGTCTACGGGAGTTCAGATGATGGATGTTTAGTCTGCAAGAGTCCGCCTTGCAAGAGTCTGATGAATGGACGTCCACTGTGCAAGAATCCATCTGACGTGTCGCCGGCCAACGAAGGTCCGGCGTGCAAGAGTCCGGTGAACGAATGTCCAGTCTGCAAGTCATGTCTGAGAGAGTCTTGCAGACGGACGCCAAGCCTGTGAGAATCCCAAATGCAGAGACCAGTCGGCGGAAGCCAGACGGTGGAATCCAACTGCTGAGTCCGGCTGACGAGAGCGTGGCCAGCAAAAGTTTGGTAAGAGAAATCCAGCAGCAGGCACAGTCCAGTTTTGATTTGGCTCTAATATGTGAAAGTTCAGTTGGTAGAGACCAGGGCCGTGGGACGTGGGAGTGCAGCTTATCTGAATCAAGCTAATGAAGTCATGAGCTGGTATTGATTGTGGTGCTGGAGTCCAGGGAGACATTCTAGTCGGCGGAGGTCAGTCGAGAATCGCACAAGCAGGCCTGCGGGCGTCAAAAGGCAAAGTGGTTCTGGGCGTATTTGATCTACTGATTAAACTGCACCAGGCTGGCTGGCAAGTCAACACAGCTAATATTGGCTTGATGGCGTCATTTACCCTGTGCCTTCTGGCATACCAGAGGTCAATTGTTGTTAGAAATCAGAACTCCCAACTTGCTTTGGCGAAAGCCCGTGAGCTCAGTGTACTTCTTGCTTAATCGAGTTAGCTGACAAGTTTGATTGGCATGGGACGAAGCTGCAAATGAAGCACATGGCCGCCGACTGAACAGTGTAACGGATGTCTCCTTTGTTTTGTTTTGGGGATGTTTCGACCGAAGATGTGTTGGTGCACGCATCTTAGGGCTGAGACGAGGCATCAGTATCATAAGTGGAATGATTTTTCTGACTATTGCTCCCGTCTGGGATGGTAATATGTACGCAACGCTTCTGCCGGATGACTTCTCAACCTCCAGCCGTCTCTAAGTGCTTTAGAGTCCTACGAAGGATTGGACGATGTTGGGCTTTCAGCCATATACGCGCCACAGCCTAAATTCTCTTCTTGAAACCGCTGGGATTCGAACCAGGGTCTTTTGCGAGTCTAGCACTCTACCAACTGAGGTAACCGGGTAGAGCAGTCATGTTTCCCGGAAAGCAATGCAATTTCATATACTTTCTCGTATGAAATTAATCGAGACGAGCAGACGTCCTTTCCGGCTAGCTCAGCTGGTAGAGCGCTGGACTCGCAATCAGAGGACCCTTGCTCGTATACCAGCAATTCCAAGGAGGAATTTGGGCTTGCAAATCACCTTTGGTGATGCTGAAAGCTACTTGCACATGCTGCAACGGTTGGACATGGAAACCCTTGCCGACAAGCGTGCGAGCTATCCTTAATATTAAGAAAGGGTATCTCCTGTGCATATAAATCTACTTCCAAAGAATCGAGTGGAGATCTCCGGCAGAAATACTCGGAGGGCAAGGGCAAAAACACTCGAAACGTTTTGCTGTGGCACGTGACGGATTGACAGATCGACGGACGAATAGTTCGTGAGATCTTGCAATAGTGAAATATTCACTACACGGGTCTATACATACCTACAGGGAATCTTTATTGAATGTGTTTCACACATGAGCTGTATGTGTAAATGCTCGAAACCGTGGCTTTCTTAATATACCGGGCTCTCGCATGGGGAATTTTCTCCCATTTTCTTCATTCCCACGAATGATATTGAAAAGAACGCCCTTTAGCACGGCCGCACGGGTGACCTAACACGTAATGCCGCCGTAGCTATACATTATAACTTACATCACAAAGATCGTCATAGAGATAATAAATTTAAATTGACATTTGCATGTCATCAAGCAAATGGGAGCCAAGCACAGCTTGCTCCTTTTTAGACACATTCCTGCTCATCCAAGTGCTTATGCTGTCTGTGGCGCAGGCGACGCAACGTGACCTGTTGGGGCGCGCACCACGCAGGCCCAGTTTAAACAGAGCCGGTGGGTCGATGAGAGGCCACTGGCTACAGGTGGTCACCGGCTGCGGGCTATCGCTTTCGGCTTACGCGGGAGGCGTTTGACTGATGATGACATCGGGAACAGATGGCATGTGCAGCGCCTCGTGGCTGAGTACCAGAGGCGGAGTCGGTCGGCCCCCATCGGATGGCGGGGCTGGAGGTTACCAGAGGCATAGTCGGTCGGCCTCCATCGGATGGCGGGGCTGGAGGTTACCAGAGGCAGAGTCGGTCGGCCCCCATCGGATGGCGGGGCTGGAGGTTACCAGAGGCAGAGTCGGTCCGCCCCCATCGGATGGCGGGGCTGGAGGTTACCAGAGGCATAGTCGGTCGGCCTCCATCGGATGGCGGGGCTGGAGTTTACCAGAGGCAGAGTCGGTCGGCCCCCATCGGATGGCGGGGCTGGAGGTTACCAGAGGCAGAGTCGGTCGGCCTCCATCAACTACAGATTTGAGTGTTTGCAATGTCGGGTCCAACGAGTGATGACATTGCGTCGGCGAACCACTTACCCGGTTGATGATATCTGGTGAAATGTGCGACGAAACTTGTGTGCTGGATGATGGCGGGCTTGGGTACAGAAAGCAAAACGAAAACGTTTCCCGAGCGTCTGCATTCTGTTTATACCGTGGTCTTATTTGGAAGGCGATCGTTACACGAAAAGTTCCACTCACATAAGCAGGGATTCAAAACACAATGACGTTTCTGTAGCCGTTGTCGCAGGACCTGCCGCACCAAACAGTAACGCATGTCTCGGTGCATGCACTCGCCTATTGAAAACGAACGCTCACCTACGAGGCCCCATCATCGCCGCTAGACGACAGACGGCCGATTCGGGCCCTGGCGGGGCGCGGTGACAGGCACACGCCGACGGCCGATCGGCGGCCGGCCCGGCTGTCCCACGCTCAGCTGCAGTCAGGGGATCGGCACCACGAGGCGGAACGGCACACGTGCCGCGCGAGCTGCCGGAACCGCCAAACTAAAACTGTTAGTTTTAGTTTGGTGCGCGGGGGCGGGCGTCAACTGCAGCGCCCAGGCTGATCCGATTGCAGTGCGCCTGCGGTTATTGTCAGCGGAGTAACGAAGCAGTGTGTGCAGCCCCTTGTGCTGACTGATGTCCGGAGGCGATGGGGTTTGATTTTACAGTGGTGTTGTGTGATCATTTATTTTGGCTATTGTAATTTAGCTGATTATGACCTGAGTGTCTGTACCTCCCTGAAGGGCACACAATGAATAGCGCACGGGGAAATAGAGGACAGAGAGATAATACAATGGCATGAGAGGGGATGGAAGAGAAGACTTTGCACAGTGCACATGCCGGACCGACATTTTCAGTAAGTTAGGAAGCAGTATATAGTGAAAATGAAGTTGAATATAACAAGGATGCGACCAGGAAGAAGGCATCTTTAAAAAATAGGGTGTAACTTTTATCCTCTTTCGTGATTCCATTGTTCTGGTCTGCAAGACGCGCGCGTGGGTTCAGGTAAGGGGAAGGCAGGAGCATGCTTCCAGTTTTGCCAAATGAGATTCCTAAAAAAAGGATTTGATGGATTTGATCGCAGGAGACACGTGTTGTGCGCCCTCTCGGCTCAAAACTCCATTTTAGGTCAGATAATTCCCCACATTCTGATTGCCCCCCCCCCCCCATCCCCCTTGAGTCCTTGGGGTTTGCCTGCACCCATGGGTGCAAGATCCATCCCGACAGCTCAAATGGTTAGAACGTCTGCCTTCCGCTTCATTCACCCTTGGCGGGGTGGGATCGGGTCGCCTTAGACCCTCAACATGCATTGCTGACAGGGATAGCCTGCGGCCGACGGCAGACGCTACGCTTAAGGACAAATGACGTCAGAGGGCAAAAAGATCGTGCTAAGCACTGCAACACGTGAAGCCTTCATCGCAAACTTTTACTTTCAACCCGAAATTCCTTAATTGAATGGTGGGGTCCAGGCTCCCGCAACGAGCACCCCTCAACAAGAGGGTGGTGCTGATCCCAGAGATCCCAGTTCCAGGGTGAAGTGGCGACCGGAACGGAATCCATGTATCATGCTGCGTACCTGACATCCACTGTCCTTTTGTTCGCAGATCATATGAAGGGGCTTCGAATATACAAGCTTATTTCGCCAGCCAGCAGCCTTCGAATGCAGTCCGATGGGTTCATCCGATATTCTGTGCTGTACGTATCCAATTCGCATTGTATTGTGCGCAGATCGTATCAAGGGGCTTCGAATATACAAGCTTGTTTCGCAAGCCTGCAGCCTTCGAATGCAGTTAGATGGGCTCATCCGATATTCTATGCTGTACGTATCTAATTAGCACAGAACTCTTAATGAAAACACGGCGAGGGGAAATGTTTAGGAGTTGGAATTTCGGTTGTCAGTTGTCTTCAGATAATCAGGACAATCTCCACTGCTTGCCATGTTAGTTTGATCACAAAAGCGAGCTGGTGAGGCAACATAGCTTTTCGCCACATATAATCAACTCAAAATGGACAGAATACTGGCTACGGGAATTTGGGCGAAGTGCTTTAAAGCCACAGAAGGAGGAACATCTCAGGAAGTAGCGTTTCCGAGACCAGTTCTGGGCTTGATTCTTTCCATGCGTCGCCATGGAGAATGCTCAGCATTCTCGAAAAATGGGGGTAACATGGCGCCCAACGGACCCCCATCTCGTCCCTGCTCCTATGCTCAAGGCGCTCAACTTTCAACATCTGTTCAGCAGAATCCATGAAATCACATACAAAATATAACGGTTTTAGTGTTTGAAAATTGGCGGCTGTTTTCCGGTGATACGACATGGCTACTGCAATGCAGTCTTCACTAAAGCCGACCTCCGATCCTGGTGTTTGACGTGCTGTTGCCTGCAAGGTCGTGCAACTCAGGCTACATGTGAGCTATTCAATGGTCTCAGCGCCATCGACACTGAGCTGTGTTGGCGCCTGTTGCAGCCTCACAGTGACGATAGTCTGCAAGATGAGCTTCCGTGACTACCCGTTCGACTCTCAGCACTGCGTCGTCCACCTGGAGGACTGTGAGTACCGCCCCCGCTCGACGGAGTGACACTGTGGGGCGGCGCAGCAGCCACGCGGGCGGCGCGACAGCGTGGAGGATGTTTGGATGGACAGGACGGATGGAGAATGAGGAGGATGGGCAGCCGCTCAGAGGATGTTTGAACGCTTGCCTGCATGCGTCAGCCCCACGTAGGAATAAATAATCGCGTATGAAACCAGTCCACTCAGCTGTGAGCCCCTCAAATAATGTTAGTTGTATTCTACTAAAGCCTACATCCGATCTCGTCACTGTCCGACGCAGCCAGGTCGTTGTTGACGCGTTGCTAGCAAGAGGGTTGCAAAACGCGACCAAAATTTAAAACACTTCAAGCTACGCTTAATGGAGCCCGCATCATTTGCACTTCTAACACATTAGACGATGCATTCGGTAAATACCGGTACATTTTGATACGAAGTTGGTTTCTAGAGTGATAGCATTCACACTTGATCAAAAATAGCAAATGTCATGAAACGTAATGAGAAGTGGCCGAAAAATCTGCTGCTGAGAGCTGAAGAAACCTTCATAAAGATGACGACGGAAAGTGACGACAGTGCAGGTTTTCCTGTGACAGAGGTTCATCCTCGTTGCATTGCACCTCTTGAAAGTTTGTCTTATTTTGTCCTGAATCCTGCACGTCCTCAGGTTTGAATAAGGTTCACGTGAATAAGGTATGAAAGTACCTAAGAAGAATAAGAAGAAATACCTAGGTACAGCCAAATTATTCGTTCTTAAAAAGCGTGCACTTAGACTAGTCACATACCCAGGCATAATGCATGATGTTCGATGTGGTAATGCTCCTGTTGGACTATGGTATTAACCATTTCGAATGTTGCAAGCTCCTGGCAGAGAGAGAGAGAGAGAGAGAGAGAGAAAGAAAGGGAGTGAGAGAGAGAGAAAGAGAGCGAGAGAGGAAGAGACAGAAAAGGAACAAAGAGAGAGGCAAGCAAGAATATATATATATATATATATATATATATATATATATGACCTACACAGTGACGTAAATGTTCTTTATTATGCATGTTTTATGGTATGTGGGTCTTTGAGGTCATGCTGAGTCAAAAAGATGAATATAGCTTCGGTTTTATTGCAAAATTAGACGCAATAGTTATGTGTCGAATTGTATAGGCAGTCATAAATCTATGCCCGTATTGTGTGATATCTAATACGCGTGATCAGCAAATTAGTCATGAAATTGGCGCGTTCAGGATGACCTTTAGACTGAAATGACGCGTTAAAAATTTTCATACTTCTTCGCTGATTGTGGTCCAAAATAATCAGGAAGCATTCAGCAGGCTCTACAGCTAAGAAGTGCTATCAGCGTTTAATTGCCTGATGTGCCTTTATCGTGGGCTAGGTTAGCCTTATGCTGAAGGTGACTTGTGGCCTTGAATTATAAACTGAAATTTACCTGTATGATGACGCGTCAACATGTGACACGTTCAGGCGCGAAAGAATCCACGAACCAATTTTGTTCCAAGAGATCAATGCGTGGTGTCCATGCGATTTGGCGGTTTAGAATGTAGAATGAATTGAACCATTTTGCCTTCATAGTATAAAGTATATTTTGTGCCCTGAGTCACGTGCGAAACCCGCAAGATCAGTTATCGTTCCCATATCGCTGGCCTTGCGTCAAAGGGCCAGCTAATCATTTTGTCTCTCAAGTTGGCTCACAGCTTCACGTTTGGCCTGATGTGACCGAATGTTTCGCTACATAATATATCACGGGACAATTAATGTGCGCAATCGTTTTCGATTCAAATTACATCTCTGATGTTGAAGATGAGTGATAGATACAGGATGAATTCTGATTAAAAATATTGATTTTATAATATGAAAATGTGCACTGAAACAAGTGGTGAAAATACAATGTTGACTGAAGCACCGTCAAACGACATGTTAACTTGTTTTTACGGTTTGCAAAGCAAATTACTAATACAAAAAACTAACAGAATGATTGTTGGCTCTCATCATATTGTCAAGCGGCCAGAAAGTTAAAGGAGTGCCCTGAAACTGAAAAAGTCCCCCATTTGTGTTTTTGTCATGACAGGCCAGGTCACGGAATTTCGATTACAATCTTAAGCTGCCAGTTTGGTCGTTGTCCTCGCCTAAGATGAAATTTTCACGGCTACATTTAGAGGATCAGAAATTTGAGAACATTGAGAGATTGATAAATATTGTAAATAGTTTGCTCAAAGTCTGTGGTATGCTACTAATAACAAAGTGATCGCTTGAACTATCACTTGAGTGTCCCACCTGCCTTTTGCACTTGGTTGAGTGCTCTCATCGCCTACAAGTTGACCAAACGTTACATCCACAGCGGCTACCGCGAAACCGACTCGACGGCAAGACGGCCCAACAGCCGGATGTAGTCATGAACGCTAGCATGCGCTGGGACTGTTTGGCCCCACCGGCAACACTGGGTCAACACGAACAGGACTTCCGGTCTGAGTCCACACAGCTGGCGAGCCCTATATGACGTTTTTATTCACGATAGAAAAGGCCATCGCAATATCAGCGCGGCAGAAACATTACGCATCACCGAGTTTGATGAGTATCGCCGGCTCTCCAAGTCGGATGATAGCACTAAAAGGCCTTTGACAATGGACAGGCTGAAAACGTAACGATCGAGGGCCACTGTATGGGGCTCTAAAGATAAAATAATGAAAATGATATTCGGCTGCAGTGCACGAGGCAGGAGGTAAGCAAAGGCAGTTCGAAAGAAACTTCCTTCAATGCTTAACCCTCATGCGATAGGGGAGGGGTTAACATTACCTCTAAGGTTTTTTATGATACCTCTCCGCCATGTCGTGAAGTTGCGCCGAAATTTTCAGCAACCTATAAATAATCTGTTGAGCGTTTATTTACATCAAAAGCGCGTCTCTAACATTTCTGGTTTCGGAAGGGTGAGGTTTAAGGAACACCGCGTTGCGAGCTACGGCCTGCGCGCGCGTCGGGCGGTGACGGGCGATTCCTCGGCCTGCGCGCACGCAGGGCTGACACTGTTGCAATCGCGGAACTATACACCATAAATATGCCCCCCCCCAAAAAAAAAATGCATGGAACTACATATCATTGTACTCCGAATTGAACAAGGTACACGTCCATACAGACTTGGGCGCTACCACGCATTATCTCGCACCTATGAGCGTGTTAAGCTGAAAAGATTTATTTTCAAGAACATTTGGCCTTTTGACTTAACATAATCGGGTTAAGGCAACATTCAGCTTGCTACCGATCGCGAGATGCCGCTGAGACTAAACCACTCGCGTGCTTTTCTAGGCCTTATCTTTCTAAGTTTGAAAACGGCTGGGGTCACATTGACGCCGCCTATCACTCAGCCTTAGAAAAACGGCGAATCGGGGCGAGGGCCAAAACATTCTACGTAAAGGGGTGCGGCGATGAGAAAACTGTGCCTGGTTCGCTGTGTTTTTATAACTGATCCCATTTTTTTCATGGACAGATTGATGGGTTCAGAGCTCACGCTATCAATGCTTGTTGCGTGGGTCCGGACCCTTACCACCCGATCGCGCAATTCCATGTCAACGGCAAAAATCTGTGGCGGAAGTTTAACGTGCTGCAATGTTTCGCGCGGTCCGTCCTGCCCGTTGGCGTCATCTTACCTCTAGCGCGGTCGCTGGCCACCAGTCGCAGCTCATACCTGCCAACGGCAAAAAGCGAGCGCTTAAAGCGGCTCGAACTCACCCCGCCACGGGGGAAGGATCAGAAGGCAGGCGCTCGAACGAACTGAGTCATCGGGAGGGACTATGATAACGAACTATGATGCGTGGTTATGGACACATGGTTATCAGAAAATATAGGCAAGCTCTCGCCTGTGATTCTTATACTTTTACAGTAGTTAACAGAAGAAGAAAATGTTCTAGCTTATGCACGGTTTGACCCGACATATCAGGCTACAGTTTATGATTGGTTTGCACAACTATTGTTACAAAAATACATGAGCATTTTCAGTTAAGGAGCTTGAAGTGCAAATCGGTATGGACGCCGACTGACCTAACGAATCGCCGACAGCGCACATGCAAATTCAAATCTGAGAAGAGGGAACGTTTTTTAGATATAAATAGAGTTAGTCGCCTTTTGGAATGATATGTGAAGACCACTGAGAAAGAAAGCGTAAGCTAGAGCGATAGACTTGTAATGGGAGTAATGCCACTGCAGTACCGTCAAGACATAATGAGGACATAATTTAAATTGCTTTCTAGCCCAAATTACGCTGGTGACGCTTTGTAACAACACTACACTTCTTCCCTGCTGTCGAGACTGCCGTCGTCATGGCAACCTCCGTGCGCACCTCTACAGGTGCGAAGGAAAACAAAGTTTACGTTTACGAAAGAAAAGAATGTTTATGATTTACCCAGCGAGCGAGGGCTTGTTACCGAGAAGCGTATTGGTTTAAGTTTGAACCAGTGCATCATATGGGTCGTGGGATAGTCGCATTCTCAAAGCCAAAGTGCGCCTCGAAAAGAGCCACGGAGGCGAACGCGATATGAGTGCAATCTATGAGAGAAACGATAGCCATAGCACAACGTTTCGTTGAATTCGTGGGACGATATCCTCATGTTCGCACCTATTTTTGTCTAAATAGTGTTTCAAGCTTTCGTAGCATTTATTACACAAACAGTATAACCGCTAGTGTGTTGCATACCTTACAGAACACACATATTTGAAAAATGAAGGCAATTAAATGTGCTTCTTTGTGGTGGGCAGGTAGTCAAATGAGATTTCTCCCTCTGGGTTGGCTACTTTAAATCAAACTTCTGAGTCACTCAGAAGCATTTCGAGAAAATGGGTATTTTGTTCAAATCTTACGCGTCTGATGTAAGCATGACTGAAAAGTACCAAAAAGGTGGTATACTCTTTTTAAACTAGGTCAGTTCAGATCCTAGACATTACATCTAAGTTCAGTCTTACAAACCAAAATCAAATGCATCACGTTTTGGATGACAAAAGTTGCAACGGCCATGACACTATACTGCCTCCCCCCCCCCCCCCACACACCACTCATGTAATAGTTTTATTCTTCAGTACGCTTGGCGTGCAACCAAAGAGAGAGCTTAAAAATTGATTGTCATGCAATGTACACGTGCAGTAGTGTTATCCGCACGTGAAGTAAAATGACGTGCTGGCTCAGCATCGATAATTGGCTTTTCTCTACCCTGAACCTGTTTCCAGCAGATGAAACAAAAAGCCTTTAGCAAGCTGACTCCAGTTTTTTCCACGCCACCATGCATCACTTGGTGAATATGGCGCCAGGCCAAGGCGTTATATAAAAGACATAATCATAAGATTAAAAATATTCCCTTTCTGCGACGTAAATACGACCTAGCACGAAATGTGTTGAGGATAAAATCCATTGATTGCAGGCGAATGTTATGCAGTGCACGTGACATGCTCTGTGACATGACACTTCTAGCATGACTTATCCCCAGTTTGCTGCCCTTACCCCTGCACCGAGTGTTCCAGCGGCGGCACTGATCAGCAGCGCATTCCACTACAGGCCGACAGCAAATAAGCCGCTCCCCATGCCCGTGCAGGATACTCGGCGACGAGAGATGATTATGATATCTGATCGACTGAGCATGCAGCACTTCAAAAAACTGATGCTTAGAAAGATGTGAACAGATGTGTGAACGCATAAACTCTTCATTATCAAATGTTTTTGTCGCTGGTATGTTCATGGGTAGCATTGTTAGGATCCGGTGTAACCTAGTTTGCCAAGTAAAAATTGCCATCTCTCCGTTTTGCATTTATCAAACTCAAAGGGCTCATTCCATTATGCCGATTTTGCCGCTCATTTGCTTTCAGTTCAGTCAAATTCAACATATTACAGCTCATGCTGCCATAAAATGATAAACCACATGTGGCTGGGAACATATTTCATATTTTGAGGAGGTGACGTGCTCATCCATCCCACGCCACTGAAACAGTTAGTTCAATTCTTTTAAGAAAATTTTCTTTCAGTTTAATTCGATTCCCGGCGCGATCCATAGTCAGGGAAGTGATCCTTGGAGGCTAGCGCTGTGAGGGCACATCTCATGGTCAGGCAGCTGCTTCTTGACCACCTTATCCGTCGGGCTGAGTTATGAATGAGCGATGTTTTACGACTCGCGTCAAACACTACATGGCCTGCCAGCGCGAAACAAGATGTATCGCCACTTATGGCTGGGTCCGAGCGCTTGTTTATGAAATTAATCGGAGGATTCTCTGGCACATGGGTCGCCAGCATTCCCTGAAGACGTAAGGCTTTCAAGTGAACGCATAATGAAAAGTGGAATTGTCAGATACAGTATGTTTATACCATGTGATTCTTTGTTCCGCGTCCTGACATATCACTTCAGGTCAGAAATTACGCAAATCTGTCGATAAATTTGATTGATTTACCACAAAGAAAGTGCCAGTGTCATGTTAATGCACGCTATCGAGAGACCTGGGGAGAAAATCAAACACCATCTAGCGGCCTGTCCTGACCACGTTATTTTACAAAAAAGCAGACATTATTTTACTATTCTGTTTTTAACAATAGTTTAACACTCACAAAATGCCCCATCCCTAAATTCCCCCTTCCGACCTCTGGCTCTGGACCATGCCACGTCCACAGAAACCCCAAGTATATATATATATATATATATATATATATATATATATATATATATATAGTTGTCGAAGGGTAGAAGAGCCTGTGTAATATCGTATTACTAGATAGCAGGGGGACAGCAAATCCGCGGGTAGTTTTAGCTGGCGAAATACTCGGTGCCATCAGGTCAACTCGCCAGGAGATAACGATTTTCGCTGGCGTGTGGCTTCGTTGCCGAAGCTTTTATTTCATGCAGCGATTTGCTGACTTATCCAGCCAACTGTACTATGTTTCCGATTGTTTAAGCACCAATCTTATCTTATCCAGTTCGGCGTCGTGTCAGGCATTCAAGGTGCGTAGGTGGTGTAACATGCGTAATATGCGCTGTAACCCTGGGGCTATTCCGTGCCACTGATGGTTCACCCAGTGCTGTCAGACTCGGACCGGACCGAGGAGGTAGTGTATGACCCCCTCCCGCACTGCCCGTGTCACTTGTGTGTCATGCTCTGTCAGACTCAATTAGACTCGTTGGCGGACCAGCTGTCAGTGCTACTGTCCGCTGCGTGTCGCCAGACTCGTGCCGGACGAGGAGGTAGTGTATGATCCCCCCCCCCCCCACACGCTGCCCCAGCTGCCAGTGCCACTGTCCGCTGCGTGTCGCCAGACTCGTACCGGACGAGGAGGTAGTGTATGATCCCCCCCCCCCCCACACGCTGCCCCAGCTGCCAGTGCCACTGTCCGCTGCGTGTCGCCAGACTCGTACCGGACCGAGGAGGTGGTGTACGAATGGGAGACGCCAGGCATTGAGGTCAGCCCCGACCTGACCCACGACCACTACGACATCAAGGTGGAGGTGCTGGACACGCAAAACTACAGCCACCACACGAGTAAGTACGACCAGCCACCTAGCTCGGGGGCAGCGACCTCCACGGTCATTCTCGGCCAGGCCGGTCGACCTTACGACCTGCACACCACCAAGGGACACCTGATTGCCATGATTTATCCCATTGCAGGATCAGTGTGCTCTATTTCTGTGAGTGTTTCTTTGGTCGATGAATCAGCACTTTGTGGCTGCATAGTGCTCATGCAGGCACATATATGGGAGGTCACCCATTTCAAGACCGTCACAGTGCGTAGTGCGACTTTGCAGAGACCTAATGAGTTCGCAGCTGTTATGCTGAGTTGTCGACCTTTAAGATGCCAGGAGGTTCTGGCTTAACGACACGACACCACAAACATCGGTTATACTGGGAGCACTCGTCGATTCAAGCTGGTCTAATGATCAAGAACAAAGCAACAAAAGAAAACAAGGAGCTAAAGGCCTTTCTTTCCGATAGCAAGCTTACGAATACGTCTCGCGTCCAGCTCGCTAGCACCTCGAACATCCACCTCAAACCCCTCCAGCGCATATTCCCCATACTACAAATACGGGGTGCGCAACGCCAGCTGAGAACAGAACATCGCAGAGTCAAATGACGCAGGGAAGCGTTATTCCGCATTCCAAAGTATATTACGGTGCCGGCGTTGTCACGTTTGCGGTGCCCGGACAGCTCGAAGCCGCTCTGATTACCACTTTGCCGGATTATTACAGACGTGAATCGAAAGGTCAGCCCTTTGAGACCCGAAGCCTCCGCAGCCGGGCGGCACAGCACTCTCGGCCAGAATCGCCGAACTAGTCCAACTGCACCATCCACAGCGGCTCTCCGTTGATCACGCAGAATCGCTGACAGGGGCTGACGTACGCCGACATTCTTCAGCCAGACGACACCTCCGCCGCGACCCTGCGCGCCCGACGGCGCTGACGAGGTCGTCGAGTCGGAGTCGTCAATTGGCCGGGCGTCCCCTAACTGGCCCGCGGCAGTCTTGGTCATCACAAGTTTGCCGTTAGCGAAACGGATCGCTGACGAGATGGTCGCGGCGAGAGGTGTGAGGCGACGAAATCGGCTCCACACTGCCCCGTCCAAGGCTGGCGTCCGAAGAGAGACGAGGCGCTCGAAATCTCACCCGGATCTCTGCACGTGCGCTGCTTCTTGCCGACACCTGGTTGTAGGCTGAAGCGGTAGGCACGCCATTGCAAGCTCCAGCCAACAATAGATCTGTGACGGCAGTCCTGTTGGCCTCAAGTGTTGGCGTGCACCGGCGGCGCCATTCAGTCCACCGATTTTCACCAGCAATCTGCCACTCCTGACTTATGGATGCTAATTACTCCATATATTTATGGTGGCTGCTTGTAACTGCATTACTTCCTATGAACGAGCTTTCGTTGATGAAGGCTTAGGACCAAGAACATTTTTATTGGCAAAATGTCATAGGTCATGCCATGACATGGTCATGTACATACAAGTTCTTGATTAAACGCGTCATACACTATCCAAAATTATAAAAACTCACGGAACACGAAGCAGTACACGTCGGAAATACAACAAGGCGGACAAAAGAAGTCTTAACCTTGATACATGAAGGAAGACCATTCGTCACATTATGAAAAAAACGCATTTACATCCAGAAATCACTAGCGAAATCAATCTCCATTAATCTTGTTACTTCTCCATGTAGTTCTGGCGATGAAGCGAAAGCAGTCTATTAAATTCAAACTGGTGAGAAAATATTCTCAGAACTTTACAATCACCTCGCTCGCTGCGCGCTGCATAAATCGTCGTTCTGACATGGCTACGTCCAACTGTAGCCTTATTGAATTGCATTTGTATTTGCAGAGGCATAAAGCATTCCAGCGAGCACGTGGACATTCCTGCTCAGGGTCATGGTACAAGGCCAACACATGCACTTGCCTGGACATGCATATCACAGTCCACGCATACAAGATTGACAGAATAGGGCAGGACAGAACAAGACAAGACTAAGTGGATCATAAGCCATAACGTCAACCCGACTAGCAGCCAATTGCTGCAGCTTCACAGCCTGGCAACGTGGTAAAAATCGTACAGTTTAGTTTCGTGGAGATCAGTGTGAATTTACGCCATCAGACCTCGGTCTCACCCAACGCCTCCACCTCTGCCATGCTCTCTTTGCTGTTGATGCGTCGCCCTTTGACCGCGAACCCTCACCTGACCTGCCCGCCCGGTTTGACACACCGCAGGTCCACAGATGCTGGGCTGACCGCCATCCGTCTTTATGCTGATTGGTCGATCCTGAGCGAGGGGAGGGGCAACAGGCAGTAGAACCCAACGTACATGCGCGATAGCATGAACACATGCGGTATCCTTGGCACCAAAGTGGCTGAACTTCGCCACACTGCAGTCCTAACAAACAGAGGCCGGATGTCATCCGCCAACCCGCCGTGCGTGACCGAGGCTCGGTACCCACACCGCGCCCTCCCGGCCTCTGACCGCGGCCTGGGGAGGTGCAGCAACTTGCCCTGCCTGGTCACCCTTTCTCATGTGGCGTTGACACGGACTCGAAGGCTGGAGAATCGCATTGTCCATCAGTCAGAATTAGGAAGGCAGATGTGCGCGAAAGTTGACAGGCTGTGATCCGCCGGCCGCTGCAGTCACCCGCTGGAGCGTCTGCAGCAGGTCGGATACGTGGTCAAACTTGCGGCGGTCCAGGATGACCCCTGCACCGCACTAAGAACAATCTTAATGCTGCCCAGTCTTTTTGAACGAATATCCTGGACAGAGAGGTAACAAGGTCACAGCGGCGGCTCAGCTGTGACACATGTACGTTTCATGACATGACCCGGTCGGGGGAGCCCAGGCTCCTTACCCCTCGCGTGTTTCCAGCGTGACACCCCGAAGATTGAGAAAAAGACGACAGACTGAAGGATGAGCCTGAGCTAAACTCGCAGGCTTACATAATTTTCTGAATCTTCAGTATCAGAATCGAGTCGCAACAGAACCCCTCGAGCTCTACTTTCTCCTATAACGTTCGAAATGCACGCTCGCCTGTTCGCATAGAAAGGGTGCATACGCCGCCCGTTTGCAGGCCGAGCACGCTACATTGTCAGCCACGGGTTCGAGTCTGACCCTGCTGCATCTGTGAAATGAACCATTTCACTTGAGTGCGAGTCTTAGATGTTAATGAGTTCGGAATCAAGTCAGAATCCGACCAGACTCGGATCCTTGCCTAGCTCTAGAATCACCAGCTTCTGCTGGATGGGTCTTACTGGTGAATGACGGTTTGTTTCAGCTTGTTTCTCGCAAAAAGTATGCGATGCCTTCTCGTCGACAGACATGTGTGACTGCACCTGTCACAGTTCTGTAGCACTTTTTCGGTCCGTGGACATACAGCAAGTGTCTTAGCACGGCAGAATGCGGATGGGTACAACAGAGATACACTCGACTCATACGGAACGCATCGCCATGAACAAGCAACTGCCGTCTGGCGCACGACGACTGATTGCTACCAGTGGCTGTCTGACCGCGTGTCCCCCGCTAACATGAACCGGCATCCCGTACGCTTCCCGGAAGTGGATAGAAAACAAGTTACCAATTCCAGACATTCGTCACACGCAGCAACCTTAAGCCGGATTATAACGTTCGTTCATCACGAATCGTGTCTGGCTGTTTTGAGACCGCTCATTTGCAGAACACATATATCATACCAGACAAATGTAGGAGGGGATGGACGCGACTGAGCCTATGTGGAAACGAATTTGAAATGGCGGGTTCTTCAAGGGCAAGTGACAGTGGGTGCTCTACATAATTTAATTCAGGGATAATTACACTAAGCTAAGAGCGGTTGCATTGACAATATAGCGGAGGAGGCAGGCATACCATGCACCACGTTCTTTTGCATTCGGTTGCTTCGTCTGGATGAGTGGGTGATACCATGTTCTTCGCTATTGAGAAAACATTTTGCAAGTCATAAAATTGCTCCCATTTATTGGCGGGAAGCCTCTCATCACATGTGTCCTACATAGGCAAAAAATGGCACATGCAATAGGGAACAAGAAGCTTCAGGGATCTTATGTCACGTGGCCTGTTCCTCGTCACGTTCCGGCCGGTTACATGCATTGGTCAGTTCAATTTATGCACTTATGAAAATTCATTGTACAGTATCAATATCGAAAAACAGGTGACCATACAGCTCGCAACGATGATCGCAGGGAGCGGACAAACTGATATGAATCTTCTGGATGATCAAGAGTTTAGCTTGAACCGCTCCCAGCGTTTCGGTACACCTGGAAAACGTAAAAGTGGAACAAGGCCAGGGATATCCATTACCATGCCGCGCGAAATATAGATTATTAAACTATCAGTCATTTTTGCGAAAACATATGCTTCCAAAAGACATAAAGCCAAGAGGGGAATCAAGTCGTATCGCTCAAAGACGTAAAAAAACACACGCTATGCCAAAATGGCCCTGTTTGCGGTTCTTTGCTTTATATATGATGTAAATGATCTCACTTCTCTATCATATAGTAACTTATGGTTTATTTGGCCGATCGGCCTCTTACTATTGGTCAAGTCGGACCTGGCTGAACAGAATTGTCAGATTATTTGCCTGGCAATAGCGTTGACCGCGGTCCCGGAGAATCTATGGATTTTGTATCCAGAGACACCGGATCCCGCACCGAACCTGCGCGTTAGGTCCAATTGCGGGCTCATCATCAAATTAAGCCATGGTAATAACCACGAAAGATAAAAGAAAAGCATTCCGTACATTTTACATAACGCAAATACAGCACACAACGGATGTGTGAGGTGCAAGCATAAATAGATATGGCAATTCTTGAAAACGTGAACGTGAATGTTTTCCGAAATTCCGTCTGTAATCTGTAAAACGAAGACATCACGGGAGATTTTCAGACGCCACGAGTGTCGTGGAAGATGTCTTAAGAGGCTTATAGAGAAAGCGAAGTGCTAATGGACAGCGGGCTAAGCGTAAACACAGCGGCGGGCGGTGGGCGTCAGAATTGAGCCCGTGA